CTGCTGAGCACCAGGACGCAGCCAGCTGGAGTGGAGAAGGCAGGGTTAGAGAGGCTACGCAGGTCCCAGGCGAGGATGGCACCGCCACCTCCCTCAGCCCTCTGGTCCGGCTGCAGCCAAGCTCCCCACCCAGGCCAGAGCAATGTCTGGGAGGCTTATTAGCAGGCAAGGCCACACATGACAGGCTGACTGACTGTCTAGAAAGTGGGTCCCTTGCCCTGATAAAGGGAGCACCTCCCAGGACAGCTAGCCTTCAGAGGCAGAGACTCACTGCTTGGCTGTGGAGCTGGGTAGAGACTGTACAGTGCAAGTCCCTTTCTTGCCCCACGGGTGAGCGGGTGCAAGGGAGGGAAGCTGCCACAGGCGATGGCCCCCCAGGGGCCCAAGAAAGCTCGGCAGCAACTTGGGCTTGAGCAGACCTCACACTCTCCCTTTCTGTTCACCAAACCCCATGTTCCTTTCCAGACGCCCATCTTCCATCGCTCCTCTTGGGCCTACCCAGCCTCCAGTGTCTGCTGGGGGCCCTCAGGGGACCACGTCATGTTTGGTCAAGCCCCCAACGCGAGCCCAGGACCAGACAGCCTTCATCTTGATGCTCAGGGAGCTAGCTTCTCAGCCTGGCCCGCCCGCGCTGAAGAGCAGGGGAAACAGGAAGCCCACGGCTGTGTCAGGAGCCCTGCGCTCACACACAGCCCCCAGCAGGAACAAGCGCCTGAGCCACTCACTCAGCTGCCCCAGCAGGTTGAGGAACACGAAGGAGGAGGCTAGCAGGTAGCCGCAGCCCCAGGTGCTGTCGATGTAGTCGCGCTGCTCGCCCCACTGGAACCACATGCGGATGCCATCCTCCAGGAAGGTGCTGATCAGGCAGAGGCGTGCCACGTGCGGGAGGTACTGCTTTGTCACACGGAGGAACTGTGGGCACAGACCCAGGGTGAGGCGGGGCAGGGGAGAGCTGATGCTGCCGAGGGCGAGCTCCATCTGCCCTGCCTTCCTGGGGCAGAGAGGGATCCTCACCCCCTCAGGGATCCTGAGCATGAGCAGTAGGCTGGGCCCCTGTGCGAACCGGCCTTCAGTCCCAGAGAATGACCTGGCAAAGGCTGTCAGGGCAGACCCAAGAGCTCGGGCTCCAGGGCTCCCTATGGTGATCCCGCTCGCCTGGGCTGGCATAGCTGGTGGGGCTGGTCATCACGCACCTGCATCTACTGGGTGGTCAGAAAAGTTACAGCCTAGTTTCTGTTTTGCTGTGCAGAAACGTGTCCTGACTTTCCCAACAGCCCAGCAGTTTCTGTCAAGGGCAGTAACAAGTTAGAGTCGCAGAACACCTAGAAAAGCCTAGCGAGCCCCTGGCCTGGGCTCCTCCACCTCAGCACTCCTGGCGTTGTCCTGGGCACTGCAGGACGCCGAGCAGCCTCCCTGGCCTCAGCCCACCAGGTGCCGTTAACACCCCCACACCTGTCACTGCCACAGGTCCCCACAGCTCTTCCAACTTGTGGGTTACATGTGGGCTGAGCAATTGACCTCCCTGGTGCCATTCAGAACCCCTCCAGAGCTGGGGTATTGGGCCTAGAGGGGCACATGGTTGACCCAGCAGTGAGCTTGCCTGTCACAGTTCTCCCCAAACCTCAGACCAGCAAGAGGACAGCGAGGCCGGGTCCCCTCTGCCTGGTTCAGGTCAGACCTGGACAAGTGTGTGCACGACTGGGACCCAGTGTGACCAGCATGGTTGGCAGTTAGGAAGCTCCGGGATTCTCTGAAAGCCTGCGTAACGCAAAGCAAATTAAAGCACACCGGCAAACGGGCCAGACAGCTGTCCTGGTGGACTGAGATGCCAATGTATAGTCACTAGGAAGTGCAGAGGGAAAGGACAGCCACAACGCCCTCCGCCCTCCGAGCTCTGCTATTCTCGCACGTTATGCCATCTGTGACGGTTTGACCAGGCCTCTGGGTGCTCTGGGACACACCAGGCACAGATGTCACACAGTTTACCCGTGCCCTTTCTCCCCACCCTCTTCAGACTGACACAGTGAGAAACCCTACAATGACATGGCAGGTGCTCGGAGAAAGGCCAGACCTGGCTATGGCGGTGACGTGTCAGGAAGCAGAGTCTAAAGGGCACACGGGAGTCCATCAGCTCAGAGGGATACCTGTGAGTGTCGCTGCCGGGCCCTCAGGGCTGCTGCAGCCCATTGCTAGAGTAAGTGACGCTGCCTATAAAACTGTCCCTTAGTTTTGAGCAGTTTAGAGACTTCCTTAGCATCCTCCTCACCAGTCCGTTGCCAAGTGCCTGGGATCAACCTTCAGCCTGACCAGTGGAGCCCGGCTTGGTCTTGTCCACCCCCCAGCAGGTTGGCTGCTTGTGGGCACAGGGAGGAGAGATTACAGGGCCGTGGCCAGCTCAGTCACCTCCTGAGCTGAGCCTGAGCTGCGGCTGCTGATGCTGTCCGCCCTAACCCCCAGGGAACCGACTGAACGGGGGTCTGGGCTGACACTCCAAGGCTGGTGTTTTCATCCTGCCCTAGTCCAGCAGTTGCCGCTATGACCAGGGACAGGCTGAGTTACTCTTTGGGGGGTCTCTGCTATCCTACCAAATGAGGACAGCTGGATTAATGTTCTCAGATTCTTTTCAACCATAATAGCCTAAAAATTTATAAACAGCGGAGGAGAAAGAGAAGACCTTGTTTGAAAAAGAAAACAAAGAGGTCCCAAGAACTTGCATACAGATTCCAGAGCCCACGGAGAGTGCGCACGGAGACGTGCAGGTGTGAAGTGCATTCACACCCGCATCAGACTAGGGCGTTGGGGTCAGCGACACCATGCCCTCAGCATGGGCACATGGAAGAGCACAAGACCACTCAGAGACAGCCCTGCTCCAGGGTCATGACCTCCACGTGTGGCCCCACACAGAGCACTGGGAGATGACAACAAAGCCCTCACCCATCTAACCCTGTAGGCTCCTAAAGGCACGGAAGCTACAGTGGGACTCCTGGGGCAGTGTGGGCCCCAAAGGCAGGGGAGAGGCAGACAGAGGAGTCCAGACTTGTTCCCAAAATGACAGCCGTGGAGATCCCCGACAGGCTTACACCTGTACCGCGCTCACCAGGGACAGCGGACAAGCCCGGCCAGCATCTGTGGTCTACGCTGATGCCCGCCCAAGCCGGGGCCCTCACCGAACATGCGCACTGGCCAAGCGCAGCCGAGACAAGGCGGGAGACAGCAGATAACAGCCTCCCAGGTGAGTCGCAACTCCTATTTTGAATGTCTGGGTGTCAAGAGGATTAAAGAGCAAAAAATGAGAGTGATGGAGGGACAGGCAGCCAGCACCGGCCTCGTGGGCACACGTGGAGACACAGGTGCAGCCTGTGGCCCTGGGGGAAGTACGGAGAGCCAGTGCCGCCCTGCCGCTTTTACACCCAGGGCCCAGGTTTAGAGCTGCTGTCTAAGATCAGGAGATGTGGAGTGCCCTGGACCAGCCACCCTCCCACGAGCATCTGTGACAGATCACAAAAGAACAGCCATGCTTACTGACCAGACCAAAATCCACTTCAACCCTGGCCACATCATGCAGCTCTGGGAAGCGACCTAAAGCCAGTGTCCCCTCTGCGCAGTGGGAAAGCCCTCCACTCACGGGAGCTATGTCCTTTCACCACCACAGAACCTCGACAGGACCACAGTGGTGGCTCTGGCCTAGACAGCCTGCAGGAAGACGGGCCAGTAGTTAGCGCACCTGGGTGGCCAGGTTTCCAGTTGGGTCTCCCCAATGGGAAGAGAACCTTGGTCTCAGTGGTGACAGCACCTGAATACCATGAGAAAGAGAAGGCGAAGCATTCTCTGTACTAGGCTGTTGCCATACAAGACTGAAGAGGACCTTGGGACCGTGATTACACTCTACCGAGCCAGCTCAGGGATTACAGTGACGACCGCCACCCAGCCCCTGCAGCCCCTCACTGCGTAGGAGCCCCGCTGTTGTGTCAGGACAGGCAGGCAGTTCTTGGCTAACACCAACTGCCAGGGCAAGGGCAGGTCAGATTTCCTTGGTCATCGAGGAGTGAGGCTGCCCTGGCCAGGGGCCACCTTTAGTCAGCACTCCTAGAAGATGAACTGAGCACCCTCCTCACTCAGGGTCAGTTCCCAGGAGCCCCGGGTGCCACTCTGTAGGTTCTGCTGCACCTTGAGGTGCAGAAGGCGTCAACACAGGCACCCTGTGCTGGACAGGATAGCATGGCTTACCAAAGCCTGTGTGATAAAAAGCCCAACCTAGGAAGACAGAGGCCACCAGGAGGGGAAAGGGCCTGTCTCATCTTGGGGGGAGCAGCCCCACTAACCACACTCCCCAGATGGGGGCTGGTTTGACCTCCCTAAGATTGGCAAGCAGAACAACCGCGTGAGTCAGCTCCCCTGTCTTCTCCCCACTCGGGACAGAGCAGGAAGCCCTGGGGCATGGGACAAGAGGGAAGAGCTCTGAAGGCAGCCAGCCAGAGGCTGTCAACCACCTAGCCATGTGACATGCTACAGGTGGGGCTCAGGTGTCCATCAGGGCCATCCTAGCCACCCAACCCTGCAACAAAGGCCAAGCCAGCACTTGGCACTGGAGAGGAGCCCCGGGCGGCCTTTCTGTAGCCCTGGTGATAGCCATCAGGAGAGCATTAGGCACTAATGGCCTGCTTCCAGGTGTAAATGAGCTCGGGAGCCAGGATGAGCAGGCTGCACTGAGCGGTGCTGCAGGGCCTTGCGACGGAGTCCATTCTGGTTCTGGCCCCCGCCAGCATGCCTCAGCAGTTTCTCCAGGCCTGGCTTCCTGGGAGCAAGATGACACTCTCCCTAGCTGCCAAGGGCAAGGAGCCTGATGCCAGGGGTGGAGAGACAGAGGTGCAGCTTAAGAGAGGCTCACAGAGGGGACGCACCGGACCAGCCCGGCCTGCCTTCACTCGTAGGTGGCCTCCGCAGACCAGGAGTCACTCAGCAGTGACAGTGGGCAGTGAGGGACCCGACCCAGCACCACCAGGGGCCTGTGCAGGCGTGGCTCCCCTGCTCATCTGAAGATGGGCTGTGGCAGCCAACCTCACACAGTCAGGACGGCAACAAGCGTGATGGCAAGGGCCCGACCGTCGCCACTGTCGCAACTGCTGGAGGGCCTCCGCCTGGGAGACGGGAGAGAGCTCCCAGGACTTGCTCTCAGCAGCCCAGACTCTCTGGTCAAGTTCCATCACCTCATTTTTGCTTTTATTTTCTGGAGACTAGAAAAAAATGGATGCCACATTATCTGACCAGTGACTTCAAGGATCCTTGTCTTCAAATTAGATCACTTTCATCGGAGGCTGAGATTCTCAGCACTTTCTATATTGGCGGCTTTCAGTACCACGTGGATACGTGTTAAAACAAAAGTGCCTGCCCTCCTGGGTCAGACTTCATCCACAGGAGCCCCAACATTTTGGCCCTGCGTCCTTCACCTGCCCACAGGCCTGCCTGTGGCACAGGAGGGTTTGGTTCTAAACAGCGAATGGCAGTGGCTCTCCAAGCTGCCCATAGTGGGACACCGGGTCCCGCTGACATGCTGGCCAGCACCCTAGGCTGCTCGCGGGAGGGCTGATGGCTCCGTCTTTGTCCGCTTGGGCTTTGTAATGTGGGCAGCATGCCCCGTTACCACGCTAGGGTGTCCTGTGATTGTGCCAGAGGGGACACCAGCCTGGGAAGTATGTTGTGCGGGGCACAGGCCTAGGGTCAAAGACGGGGCTACCTGGATGCTGGGACACGGCAGATCCCGGAGCCCGAGCAGTCTCACCCGCCCCGGGAGCTTCGCAGAGGTCGGCCCTGCATGCGCCTCCAGCCTTCCTGGTCCCAGGTTCTGCTTTACTTTCAACATGCCGAAACACGAGGGGCAGAAAGCATTACACAGATTTTCTCAGGAGTCTACCAACGACAGTCAGCGGTGGCCTGCGTGGAGACATTTCATCTAGATTTGGTTGGGAAATCCACTGGCAAGCCCCATGGCTCCGCCGGCTGAAGGGCAAGAGTGCGTAGCTCCCCGTTCCTCCCTGGGCTCAGAGGATGTCTTCTTAGGGAGGGACTGCTTGGGAAATAAAATCGGGTCACTGAAAACTGTGTCATCAAAAACCGACAAACAGAAAGGCCCACTTGGCTCCTGAAAGCTTTCCATACGAATTGCTTCTGTGAAACAATCAGAAATTGCCTTTAAACACGAAATCATGACTTTCAGGAAAGCGGGTCCGCGTTGGTAGACAGGTTGCCCCCCAAGTTGGTTTTAAAGTATCAGCTCGCAGGAAAGGGCCCCCACGCGCAGCTCGCCCTGGCCCTCGCCCACGCCCTCGCCCACGCGGGAGGCGGGAGCCTAGACCTGATAGCTGATGATAACTGGTCAGGAAACGCTCACTTGCTCTTTCTAAAAACCGCAGGCACACACAGGCCTCCCTACAACGCTGGGCCTCTGGGTGTGATTTCTCAATACCGGCCCCAAAAGACTGAGACTTTAACCCTCACAGTGAATAACTCTGACAGGGCCACAAACACTTCTGTGCACCAAAAGGCTGGACAAGGCCCTGCCCAGGGGTCCAGCTGTGACCCCCCGGCCACTACACCTCTGATCCCCGGCCTCCTTTCTGCCCAGACTAAAGGAGGAGGGAGCAGCTGTCCCCCGCTTCTCCAGGCCGGCCCTGTGCATCTCCGTCCAGCAATTACTCACCCGCGGCTTCCCTGTCACTGAGTGCCACCTGTACACTTCTGCAAGGGACAGGCAGGAGTGGACTGCCCCTCCTCCCAGGTGGAGACTAGTCAATCGGCCCCAGGGCAGAGTCCGCGGGAGGGAAAGATGCGGGTCGGGTCAAAGGGACCCCACCGGGTCCAGCACATCTGGGAAGGGGGAAAGAAGGCGGTGGCTTCCTACAGCTGGGGTGCCAGGCCGTCCTCTTTCCTGAGGGGGGACCCCCGGTCTCCATCC